AAAAGATTATTTCATCAAACTGATGATTACTAAAGTGAAATTCTGAAGGAATTCAAACACTGATTCTAAGCATGCAAACTTAATAAAATCACATATTTAGACAATCAAGGGCAATAACTCGACATTGCTCAATGGAATATCAATAAATGCTGTTTCCATTTTCAGAGAGGATCAAAAGCATATTGACAAGCGCTGGTGTTTCTTGTAACCAAGTTCCCCCCGAGGTGACATGGTTACATCCACAACCTTCTGGTTACTTCTACAAACGGAAATGGTATCCAACTTACTGTAAAACAGAGCCGAATAATACATTTATACCTCACAAGTGTCTGGGAAACAGAAAAATGTGGTTATTTGGCGATTCAACAGCGAGAGAATGGTTTTACAGAATGAATATTTTATTAAAAATAGGGAAAGTGTCACAAAGAAAAATATGGCATGCGCCGCTTCTGGTATCAAATCCAGTATGGAATTTCACTTTGTTCTGGGGTCCTCATGAACTGCCTTTCTTTTCAATTGATCCTTCTGAAGAGAAGAATCATATTCCAGCGCATATTTACATGAAGCAAATCCATAATTCATCCAGAGACATCATCGTTTTCGCCTTATATTCACACCTTACCCATTACCACCCTAGAATATTTCAAGATAGATTGGAGCTTATATACCGTGGAGTTGTGGATTTAATCAACAGGGCACCAAATGTGACTATAGTCTTTAGAGGCTTTCATACCTATACAGACGAAGAACGCTTTGCTCGTTGGCATGATGACTATTTCGGTTTGGTGTTTCGAGAAATAACCAGAAAAAAGTTTAGACCAATCAGAAAGCGTGTTATATATTTAAATCATTGGGATATGACTTTAGGTGCGGAGAATTCTCAATTACATCCAACTAAATTTCTAGATGACATCATGATAACGAATTTATTTTCTCACATATGTAGGTGATAAAATTATTATTGGTACCAGAAACTTAGCTTTTGTAACAACAGAAACTTAGCTTTGGTAACAGAAACTTAGCTTTGGTAACAGAAACTTAGCTTTGGTAACAGAAAACTTAACCTTTGTAACAGAAACTTAGCTTTGGTAACAGAAACTTAGCTTTGGTAACAGAAACTTAGCTTCGGCAACAGAAACTTAGCTTTTGTAACAACAGAAACTTATTTTGGTAACAGAAACTTAGCCTTGGTAACAGAAACTTAGCTTTGGTAACAGAAAACTTAACCTTTGTAACAGAAACTTAGCTTTGGTAACAGAAACTTAGCTCTGGTAATAGAAACTTAGCTTTGGTAACAGAAACTTAGCATTGGTAACAGAAACTTAGCTTTGATAACAGAAACTTAGCTGTGGTAACAGAAACTACTAGTACACCTAGTTTACAACCCAGGCATCACATTTGTTTTGAAAAATACATAACTTCAGCTAAGAAGAAAAGAATGATATAGGTCTCAGACCACTAAAACTTTTTATGTAAATGATTTTATACGAATGTAGAGATCCTCTTTCTCCCAAACCCCCATACCCCCCTTTGGGTTTTTGCATGTCTATTGTCATGCGGGAGGATAATTCTAAAAATAGTCGTTTTGTGTGCAGAGAGGAAATTTAAGAAACCAGGGTTGTCTTCAATTTTTACAAGTTGTTAATTAATCCATATTTATATACATTATCTTAGCATGCTTTCAGTTCAATAGCTTCTTCAGAGATGATAAATAATTTTACATTTCAACAATATATACAATTCAGAGGTAACTATTCAAAACAAATAATTTTTTAGTACCATAATTACTCACTTATTCATGGTAGTTAACAAATCATTGTGTTGAAAGTAATTACTTAATCAGATATAAATAACAATATAATATCATTGAACAATGTACAGCAATCAAGAAGGGGATAATACATTTAGTTCAGGTTTGAACTTCTTAATGAACCACGCTTCTTTTTGTCGTGTTAATTGCATATTGTCAGTAAACAGTTGAAAGAATGGGAATACTTTAAATTTAATAATTAGGTGATTTCTGGAAGAGTTATAGAAGGTTGAATTTTGCGATTTAACATGGAAACAAATGGCAAATGAATTACCGGTCTGAATCCTTTTGATGAAGTCAAGAACTATAAATCCTTACAACAAACAAGTCTAAATGTGATTATTTGTGAAATAGTATTTTTTAAAAATGAACATTTATTGGGTTGAAAGCTAGGATGATAAGATATGCCAATCTGTTAAAGGTATTTTTAGTCAAGCGAAATAACCGATAACTTCAAATAATATGGTGGCTTATAAAAATATTCAAAAGCAACAGATAGCATATAAAACATTATGATAAAGTCAAGGACTAAAATTCTACACGTGACTTAATAGAGTTTTGAAGATATTTGTCAAATTGTTTTGTTTAAAATGCTAGCTAGAATGTCAATGGAATTAACTGATAACTTCAACTTGCTGGCAGTAGCGTATTTAAGGGGAGGGAGGAAGCTATTGGGCCATGGAATCCCCTTCGGGCCTGTTAAATGTCTTATTTTGAAGTGACAATTCAGCCCTGTAAATGCTCAAATTCATCTCAGGCCATCTTAAATCCGTTGGAGGGGGGCTCTGGCCTCGAGGGGCTTTGACCTTTCACCTCGGAAAGCCTCTTCTCATTTTTTGTCCCCTCAGGTATTTTCAAGATACGCCCCTGGCTGCTGGCTAATAAAAATATTTAAAAGTAAAGTATAACAAGGTATTCTGATTTAGTCAAGTCAAGGACAGTATATCAAATCATAAGTTGAAAATTGCATTATATTAATATAATAAAATGGTAAAAGAAATTCTATTCTGGCAATCTACCTTTCATCTAAATACTGGGATGGGAAAATGCCAACTGTTCAAGTTAAGATTATAAACAATGTTCTATATAATAACATATTTCCTTTGGGTATTAGTGCACTCTATTGCATGTTCTACTGATTTTAAACGAACTGTAGTGTTTATTAAGGTCAACACCGATCTTGGTGAAAATGTGTTCTTAAGAGGAGGTAAGTGCATATCATTGAATATATTTAAGGGAATATTAGAATGGATATAAAAAAAACACATAAATTTTTTGGCTATTCTGAGAAGCACTGGAACGCACCTTTTGTTCGCGTCACAAAATCATAGAGAGCAGGAGTTGATTGGCTTGCGGTGTCATCATACTGACGAATGTGCAAGAAGACCACCTTCCGACCTTAACTGAAGTGACTTTATTGAAAATTAAAGCATATTAAACACGGAACGAGAGTTTGATCTAATATTGATAAGACTGTATAAAAAGAGTCAAACATGGTTAACAAAAGCATTATATATTGACTTACTAGGTGCCAAGAATAGAATCTCTATATAAAACGATATATCCATTAAACTAAATACGTTTCTAAGCATGTTGCCAAATTATTTAGTTTAATGAATGATTATCTAGTGTTATGGATTTATTAGATTATAGAAGGATTCTTTTGTATAGTAATGTCCACTGATATACAAAGACTCATTTTTGATCAAGTTTCAATTTTTTGGTCATCCTAAGAGATAGAATATCCTGAAATATTACATCTTTACATCATTAAGTTTTGAATACGACTAATAGTAGGGAAAATTGCGGACGATTTATAACCGAAGGATCGTCACTTTTTGAAAGCAATATTTATCAAGTTGAAAAGCCCAGTCGCACAGTGGTACTGGTTTGTGGAAGGATGAATGTTATCCTACCTTCCAAATTTCGAAGAAATCCAGCTTTCTCCTTTTTAATCCAAATTCTTTTATAAATCCAGGCAATTCAAAATGTTCCGGCCATGACTTTGATCCTTGTGCAATACCAATAAGATACAGAACAACACCAACATCAGCATCATCAGCTTGGTCTGTAGATGATCACTATTTGGACTGGCAAGGTGCAGAACAAAATCAAGCTCAATTCAACGGAATCCCTGCTTCGGGTTCTCCTATGATATGGACGACATCCAAGTACGTACAGGTTCTTACTGGATGTTCACAAATCCTAATCCATGTAGTCAGCAAGTGATGCTTTTAATTTTTCGCAAAGGGAGAAAATATTTCGTCTTGTTCAACCGAAAACCTTTTTGTTTTTAGTCATGTATCAGGCAATCCATCAGTTGAAAACGATGGATTTGGATATTCTCCCTTACACACGTTTGGGTCTGGTTATTGGATGTGGAATGTAGAAATGGATTGCTCTCACACTGATAATGGATGGTTTCAGTTCAAGGTAGGGCATTCGATTCTACATTTTTCTTTGGAACACCAGCAATGGACTCTTAAGGTATAGGCACACGAACGGTATTGGTCGGCGATTTTTCCACTATGTCGATATTGCGAATCATGCAATTAAAAGGAAAGTGAATCCGACTGGATGATGATGCTCTATCATGCAGACGATAAAATAGTCGGTGATAAATATCAAATCTGCCCGAATTCTTAGTTTTGTACACTTGACTGATATTTCCCCAATGTTAACAGACAACTCAGATGCATCAACTTTCTGTATTTCAGACTTACATAACCCCAACAGCAGGCTGGGAACCGGATGTGGATCAGACACCATGTTGTGGTGGTGAAACTAGTGGCAGACGCCCATTTCAGACGAGTAACCACCAAGCAAGATGTGGTTCTTTAAATCTGTTTGTGTATGGCAGCTCTGGTTGCGTCATAGAGCCCATTCAATTCAGACATCCTACACGTAAGCGTGTTGTCAAAGTTACTTTTTCAAAACTGTTCAAACTGGATGGATTTCATTGTTCAAGTACGCCATTTCATCTCACATGTATGCATATCTGACTGGATATATCTGACATGGTATGTCGGTAGACATGATCAGCAGGTACCACAATTAATTTTGCCAAGGCAAGTTATCACTGAATCAAATGGCTGAAACAAACGTCAAATGATCTTCTTGGAAGTGCAAGACACATCCCTCAAAAGTTCTGTTTACTTTATTAAGATAATTGACTCTATATCTTGCAGAGACTTCCTGTGGTGCCAAGCATCTTAGATCAACCAGGGTGGTTAATGGTAAACCTTCTTCAGAAGGTAGTTGGCCGTGGATGAGTGAGATACTTTATAAAGGACATCATGGGTGTGGTGCAGTTCTCATATCTCCTAAATGGGCAATAACCGCTGGCCATTGCGTCAGGACGTACGTATTGCTTTCTATGTCAGACTCTGAGAGCCTGTGAAATGTTATGATACTCTTCCGATTTGTATTGCAAAGGTGTAAACTGAATAACCTATGGCATATGTACTGAATCTGCTTTTAGGAGTACATATCAAGAGACCTAGAAACATCAATTAGTCAACCACTATTTCTGTGTCTATTTTCTGTGATAATTTTCAACCAAATCTAGAAATATATGGCAACTATGGCAACTCTCGGCAGCCTCCAAAACCTTAGGGAACTAACGTAATTGGCGAGATCGATCTGAAATCTATAACTGGAACATTTTGAATTGCAACTGAATTTATATGAATTGCGAATCAAAATTTATCTTAATTAGCAAAACCTGAAATTTTGAATCGAACCCTGATATATTTACTGCAAACTAATACACAATCTTGAAATGTTTGTTTTCATTCTGCAGAGCGAAAACCTACGGTCCTTGGGCCACAATTTTAAGAACTGGTGAAACCAACAAACACACTATATCTGGTACAGAAAGAGATTACTTTGTTAAAAACATCATCAAGGTAAATGAAAGAATAACGTTCAAGTTTTGTCTTTTTGCCATTCACGTCGCCCCTTCTTCGTCACTCTAACACAATTTTCCTCATCACACAATCAAATTGCAAAGTCTTCTACTTCTCCAGGACATTCTTATCACTATAATTCGTTGAATTATAATACACGGCGCTATGAAAGGGATATGGTCGTCAAAAAAGATGCTCTTTCAGCAATCTGTATCGAATTCAACAATGGCTGAAACCTAGTAATTTCAATTTTCAGTCTATTCATTTCTATCATATAATCATGATGTCTTCTTTGTTGTAGCATCCGTTATTCGACAAACGAGGATCAACAGTTGGTAATGATCATGATATAGCTCTACTGGAACTAACAAACCCAGTCACTGTCAATCATTATGACGTCACACCAGCATGTATCCCCGCTCACTTTCATAATATTGACCAATTCACCAATAAGGAATGCTGGATTATTGGGTGGGGAAGTACTCGAGGTAAGCGGTACCTTAATTTGCATTTAGGTCAATAACAAGAAACAAATCGAAAGTTATTAATTACATCTAAAATTACATGGTCATATAACCCAATGGATGTACATCAAGAAAGAATAAAACTAAGGTTTACGAGGACCCTTTTACCAGCTGGTCCTTGGTAAACCTCATAGTTGTCGGGGAAGGGAGTTTAAAACATTTGCTTGAGCTTGAAGTAAACTAATCATACGAACGTTCTAACCGACTGTTCTATACCCCGCCCCCCAAAATTAAAAAACAGGTAATAAATGAAAAGAGAAATACACCCTTTTATAACATCTTTAAATCGATCATTTTGATTCAGAGCTCACTGCTAATATCTAAAATAGAACATCTGATTATAAGATGTAGACTTAACCCCAAACGCCCTGACAAAAATATTCGCGTTTTTTTTTCAGATACTGGAGATAATATGATACTACAAGAACTACAAGTTAATGTATCTAGTGTATCAACTTGTAGATCATTATATGGAACGAGGGTGAGTGATCGTCAAGTCTGTGCTGGAAATGGAACAAAACAAGCTTGTATGGTATGTTGCTAAAAACCTACTTTTTATACTTGTCATCAAGTTATGGACAGTTGCGGAGCCAAAGGGAAGTAGGGGAAGGGGGCAGAGGGTACAGCCAGGCCCCCCAAACCTCGCAGCCCGGAACGCAAGTTTTTCAGGCAAAAAACTCATAGCTAGGTTAGAAATTCGGGCAATCTCAGATATTTCGCCCCCTCGGAAGTAAACCTGGCTCCGCCACTGGTCATGGACTATAGCAATATCGTGAATTACGAAAGTGCAATATTTTCAAATGAAGATAAACGATTACCTGAATTAGTCAAAGAAGTGTATGGAAGAGGGATACACGTGACCAGTGGCGGTGCCAGTGGGGGTAAAGAAGGGGGAGGGGCATTTGCACCCCCATTTCATTGCTGTTAAATTTTAGAATAATTATGCCTTTTACACATGTGCCTCAAAATATGTGTCAGAAAGCACCAAATCGGTCCTATGTCTTGGTGAGAACCCTCGCAGACATTCTATGGCAGGCTTGTCACATCTCAGGCTAACATTGTAAAAATATATTTTGTTTTTCTATTCCTAACTTCATTTGCATATAATTATTGAACATTTCTAAAAGTTTCACCATTAGATGGAGTTTCTGCTTGCAGACTATTATATAGATTTAGATAATTTATTTAACAGCTAAATCAATAATCTATATTATGTTTTTAATTGTTGTTTAAGGGAGATTCCGGAAGTCCCCTATCATGTAATATTAATGGTATATGGTATGTAGTAGGTGTGGTATCGTGGGGTGATGATAATTGTGTAGGCAGACCATCAGTATTCACTCGTATTTCACAATTTATTCCTTGGATTCAACAACAAACTGGACTTCATTTTAATCAAAATTCTCATGTAATTGGATAGTAATAAACATATTGTTTTATTTATTGGTGTTTTTTTATTATTATTGAAATGGTAATGTTGAATTGCATTTTACAATAATCATACAAAATATTAGCACTATTAGACTCGAAACTGTCTTATTAGAAGCTCTATACCAGTGGTTCCTAACCTATTTCAACCTTCACACCCCCGGAGCCATCCCATGGACCTTTCACAACCCAAAATTTGTTTCATAAACATTTTCAGCATGTGATGATGTGAGGTGCTCTCTAAAATCAAAATAGATTCTTCTCCTACACCAGTTGGCCACACCCCCAACACCCTTGTCTCACACCCCAGAGGATGAAAATAACCCAGGTTGGGAACCAGGGCTCTATACAAAGGTGTACATAGAACCTTTTATAAATGTTCCCATATAACTGAAAATAGTGATCGACATCAGTTGCAATGAAAGCCAAGTAATCCGGGGCGTTGACAAGAGCTATCAGTAAATAAAACATACTGAGAGTAACATTTTCATACAAGAGCTTTATTCACAACCTTTTTTTTAAATTTTCGATTGGGTTCATCTTTAGGTGATACAATTTAACCATGTTTGTGTATAGCACAAGAAGCATTTTTAAAAACAAGGGCAATAACTATTCGAATATTTTTCGATTTGTCTGATTATCAATAAGGTTCTTCCTTATTACAAACACTCACACCAGCTCTCTATCGTGTCCACAACAACAACAATGAAATAGCTGCATTTCATGATACAATAAGAGTGGTTATTGCAGTCAAGGTATAAGACGCAGTTCATAATCGCATGATACAATAAGAGTGGTTATTGCAGTCAAAGTATAAGACGCAGTTCATAATCGCTTGACATTGTGAAGATGAAAAGATACAGAACAGCGTCTCATTTATCAAACATATTATATTATCTGACTCTAGCAGGCTATGTGTTCAATGATGCATTTTTATCTGAGAAATATTCGCTCTGCAATTCTCAGAACCTATATCATACGAAACTACGCATGATTCTTACATGAAAATAACACACACGAACATAGTTCACAGCCATTTTGAATCTCTTCCTGGACTTAATAAGTCGAATTGTGATAAAAGCTAGAATATTCTAACAAAGCCTTCAAATCACATTTAAAGTTTTAGAAATGGCTTTAAATGTGAAATGAAGGCTTTATTGAAATATTCTAGCCTTTATCACAATTCTACTTATTAAGTCGAAAAAGAGATTCAAAATGTGAACTACCTTCGTGTGTGTTTTTTCATGTAAGAACCATAAATAGTTTCGTATCAGACTATATAACGAAATGGAAAGACAGACCAGAATATGAAAAATTTTTCTTCGCAAGAAATAAGACTCTGTTTATAAACACAAATTATAAGTTATATAACTTATATAAGTTCCAATTTCAGAAATTGTAAAGTATAGAGAAGTACTAGGTCCAGAAGATAAGAGGTCTTACATATAGATCATTGGGAAACTACCAGATGAAAAAGAAGGAATCGTGATTACACTATATAAGACTTTTAATCTGATAAGATATTTTCGGAGATACAAAAAAGAGCCATGACCATTATTTCGTCACACAACTTACACTATTTGCTGTGTCAACATCTTACAATTTTAAGGTAAGAAAAAATGGAATTAACCGAATTTAAAGCTCTAGGGTCACAAAAAATTTCTCAAGCTCAGTTTAGTTTTAACTCAAACTGATAATGCTCTTCGCATCAAGAAAAGTTGAAATTTAAAGATTAATGTGATACTGACAGAAACATTGTACCCTATAGAATGGATTTTTCTTTGATACAATCATTTATTCAACTGTAATAGCTGCTTCAAAGTGAGTACATTTGGCTAAATATGAAAAAATTGGTTAATGATGTCAATAGTCTGAATACAATGAATCTTAAAATGCAAATTGTCTATGGATAAAATATTTGCCTCAGCGATTGAATCTGATCAGAAACCAATGGGGCGCATATCCCGTGGGCAACTGGAATGTTACATATTTTGCTGATATAATGAACATATTGTTGAATCACTATATGTATATTTGTATTTGATAAATTGCAGTGATAAAAAAATCAATTTAAGACTGTTTAAGAAATTTCCTGGCCTTGTTCAAATTAGCTCTTTGATTATGAATGGAGCAAAAATTAGAGACTGAAAATGGCAGTATGCGTTCATTTTCTTTACATAAAATTGTCAAAAAGACTTTTAGCGGATTATCAAAAATTATCAGTACACCTTATTTCCTATCATAGACCTTACCAACAAGACGAAAATTTTTCAGATACCACTTTTAAAAAAGTTAAATTCCTAGTTTGAGGTATTTTGAAAAAATCGTCCATTCTAATACTTCTGAAGACTATGTACATGTATTCAAAGCCCAAGTCAATGGTGAACCATGGCCTATATAACTGATTTCAAACTACTGTCTTGTATTAAATGAAATCATTTTGATTTGTAGATGAAGTGTGTGCTCATATTAGTAGCCCTTGTGTTGGCCTGTGTGGCTGACCAGCCAGCTCTGTTTCAACCAGCATTAACTCATCATGAGATAATGAATATCATTAAACATCATTATGAAACAAGCACTGGTACAAGCTCACTTTGTAAGTATAGTTTTTAGAGACTTAAGATACTCAAAAACCCTTATTAAATATGAGGGGTGCCGAGTTATTAAACCCTTTTTGTAGAGTGGTAATAAGTGCCCCGAAAGTAGCTCACATTGCTTCGCTATCGACAACTTTCACTACCAACCAGTAACAGAACGTCTCTAATATCCGCTTATTATGTTATCCACTTATTATTAGGAAAAGTTATTAAATTTAACGTCAAAAAGCAAGTGAAACTAGACAACGATCTTATTAATACGATGTAATATTCACCATCCCACATTACCCAACATGTCTTGTTACTCAGAATTTATAACATTTCTAACGTAAGTGTACGGATGTTTTCAATGTACATTCTCTGTAGCTCACGCAAACAAATTTAAATTTATTATTTTCTATATTCAGTTGGAAAGCGAGAACTCAAAGAAAAGAGATTTTTGGGTGGTTTGTCCAAAATTTTCCACAAAATTGAACATTGTAAGTAACTTATTTCGTGGTCACTCTTTTTATATATTGAACAAATTTAATGAACAATATTTGAATTCTGTATAAATAAATATCAACCATCTTTGAATAAAAGTCATTCCATTTATAATTCCAGTTGCTACAGACCATATTGGTGATCTCATAACTGTCGGTGAAAGTAAGTTTTTTATTTAAAATTATTATAATCATACATCAATCATACCAATTATTGTCTTTATACTATAAAATTCATCATCATCATTATCATAATATAATATCATTCCCGGTATTTGTCGTATAAATTCTAATCATCATTTTTTTCAAACCATGAAAAATAATCATTATATTATTATAGTTTAATCATCGTACATTTAAATCATTATATTCGAAATCACCATCATAATCATCATAATATTTATATTAAATCAATATGTTATATTCCAATGATTATAATATTCAATCATCATATTATATATTCAATCACCATTATAATCTTAACATTATATATCAAATTATCATATGAATTGATCATTATATTTACTAAATTATCATGTTATATATCATAATTATATCAGATTCAATCATTGCATTATATTCAATCATCAATATAATCTAACTAAATTATCATTCTTTTTAAAGATGGGTTTCCTTATTTTATTAATGACGAATTAAGAAAACTTTTGATTAATTGGAGTTTCTAATGAATTATCATATATTCTTTATCATATCATTATGTTTCCATTAGAGTTTTAAGCAATCATTAATGTCCATGTATGTACAGCCTGGATGAAGAAAAAAGACTATTTGACTTTTCTCGCTCATTGGAATTCTTTTCTAATTGAGCTAATTATGAATTAAGTATGGACATGTTAGACTAAATGGTATTTTTCCAAGTCATAAGAACACCTCTACTATCTATTCATATAATTATTAACATTTTTATTTTCATAAATAAAAATAAGGGAACCATCTTTAACCATTATTATATATGAAATCATCATATAAATTGATCGTTATATTTACTAAATTATTATCTATTTAACCATGATTATATATCAAATCATAATACATTTCAATTATTAATAATCATAGTATTTCTTATTTCGTAAACAAGTAGTAAGAAGTTAAGTTGAATTAATATAAATTCCATATATTTCAGCTCTTGGACCAGCATTATTGGGAAAGAGAGAGGCTGATTTGTAAGTATTTTACAACTCAATTATTTTTTTTAACAAATTTCAACAAGCCTTTAGTATATTCCTATAATATATTGAATTTGGTGGTCCTTATCATGATATAGATTACCATTTAAATTTAATCATGCTTAAAAATATAAGGTTTTTTTTTCTTGCAGTGACAAAAGATTTCTTGGAAAAGTTGCAAACGCCTTTAAGAAAGCAGGAAACTGTAAGTAAATTTCTCTAGAATTTATATCAAATAAAGCTATATATATTTTGAGAGTGATTGAAATTTATAATTTTATCATTATTATATAATTATGATAATTTTCAGTTTTGAAAGATCATGTTGGAGATATTGTTAAAGTTGGTGAAAGTAAGTTATCTTTTTTGCTTTTAAACATTTTTCATTGTTAAAATAGTCTTAATACAATTGTAGATATTTTATATAAATGTTTGCTTCTCTAAGACAGGGCCGAAAAGATATGGAGGCAAGTATAAGCATCGGTAACGTCCAACAGAAATTTTGTACTTGCAACTCTCTCTATCAAAAATTGCGTATCTGATCGTCGACCGAAACAGTTGAAATCTCCGACTACCCAGCTTCTCGCAGTAAACCTGTCAAATATTCAATATGCGTACTTGTCAAATCAGTTTTGAAAGTTACTTGGTTTGAAACATGTCTTTTGTTTAAAGAAAATGATAATTAGAAATAAAATTTTAGTGGCTACGTTTGATCAATATTGTAAT